CATAGTTCGAGGCCAACCGCGTCTCGATACCATTCTGGTGAACGCTTGCAAAAATCCGTCTGTTTCCAACGACCATGCCATTTCTAAGTGGCAACAATGGGTCTGCAAGCAAAGAAATAGACACAAATATCGTTTCGTTCGTGTCTTCCCTCGTCCTTGCTTTGTGAGGTAGGGCCCTGCGAAATCAACTGCACAGTTCGTGAAAGGTTTCATCGTCAACTCTAATCTGATATTGGGCAATGGTGCCATTTGTTGCACGCCTGGTTTGCCGGTAAAACGCCGTTTGCACGTTGTGCATTCTTTTGCCGTTCTCTTTACCATTTCTCGGCCATGAACGACATGGTATCTCTCTCGAAGATGATTCAGCGTGAAGTTTACGCCCATTCGATGCCCTTCGCTTTCGCGGTGATACTTCACGATGAGTTTCGTCACTGGATGTCTCTTAGGTAAAATTATTGGATATTTTATCTCTTCGCTCAAATCCTCAGAGTATCGAAGCCTCGTATTCGAACGCAGAAGACCATCTTTCCAGATTGGCGTTAAATTCAAAATACTGCTTCTTTTAGGAAGACTCTTCTTCTCTTTTAGTGCAGTAATCTCTTGACAATAAACTTCCATTTGTGCTTCGCGAATAATGATCTCTTCTACACCTTGTAATTCGTTTGCGGTCAACTCTCCACTGACTCGTTCTTTCTTCAACTTTCGACAGTTCGCAATGAATCTATGGACCCAAGCTCTAACCCGCACTAACGACAGTCCTAACTCCAATCTCTTAGTCAAGGAAAGGCGATACCACTTTGAAAATCTTGAAGGTTTCAGACGCCATTCTCCTTCGCTTTCGTCTTCTTGAGTTGCATTGAAACAAACTGCGTCACCCTTGCGTTCTGGCTTCATCTCTGCGAAAACTTGGGCGTTCTGTTCTGCAAATTTCTCTTCGGGCCACTTGTCGCGTGATTCTTTTAGAAACTCTGGCCCGTTCCACCAAAGTTCATTCTTTTTCAACTCAGTGACTGTGAGTCCACGTGTACCGTGATCTGCTGGGTTGGATGATGTCGGGACGTATTTCCATTGTACAGGGTTGGTTTCTTCATGAATCTCACCGATCCGATGTGCCACGAAAGTCTTGTACTTTCGACTTTGTCCACGGATCCAAAAACCAACCGTCGTGCTGTCGATCCAAAACGTTACATCTTGTACAGGAAGTTCTAAGGCCGTACAAACTTGTTTACTTAAACGAAGGCCTATAACCGCTCCCATTAATTCAAGCCGTGGGATGCTTATAGTTTTCAAGGGTGCTAACCGTGTTTTTGCTGCTACGAGTCGGACTGATACGTCACCGTCCTTATATTCATGACGAATATAGACAACCGCGGAACACGCTTTTTCCGAAGCGTCCGAAAACGTGTGAATCTCGATATGTCCGACTTCTACGCTCTTTCTCAGACAACGTGGAATCTTAATGAGAGATAATTTGATCAACTCTTCAAACCATTGTTTCCAAGTTCGACGATGTTCCTCGGGGAGATGCTCATCCCAACTCAATCCTTGAACCCACGCTTTTTGCATCATTAGCTTTGCCAACAAAATGAAGGGAGCAAGAAAGCCTAAAGGATCAAATATCGTTGCGGTACAGCGAAGAACGTTCCTCTTCGTGTAGACAAATTCTTTCTCTGGTGGAGAATAGTGAAACGAGAACTGATCGTCCGTTGCAGTCCACGAAATTCCGAGGGTCTTCACGCTTGACAATTCATGCAAGTCGAGGTTGATTTGTGATGCACGATCTTCTTCCGGAATATCTTCTAGCACTTCGCGACGATTCGAAATCCACTTACGAATGTGAAATTTTGCTTTATCTCCTAACGTTGTCAATTGCTGTCGAGTTTCAATCGCTTGTGATGAACTTTCGACTGATGGCATCAAATCATCCATGTAACAATTTTTTCCAACTGCTTCGGCGGCTAAGGGTAATTCGTCAGCGTGTCGTTCTGCGTGTTGTTGCCATGTGAACTGTGCGCAGAATGGGCAATAACATCCTCCGAATACAAAACGAATAAATTCATAAACTTCCGGTTCTTTGCTTCGATCGAGGTTTCGCCAGAGAAAACGGTGCAAAGATCTATCTTCTGGCAGGAGAACCAACTGATGATACATTTGGCTAATATCTCCGACTAAAGCCACGGGATCCTAGCGAAATTTCACTAATATGTCCACAATGTCACTTTGCAGTTTAGGACCAGGTAGGGATTCTGTGTTCAGGCTTTTCCCTTCGCAAGTTGCCGATGCGTCGAAAACAATTCGAACTTTTGTTGTGCTCTTGTCCGGTCGCACAACAGGAAAGTGAGGCAACAACCACTCACATTCTGGTTTCGGTTCATCCGAGGGCACTTGTCTGATATATCCTTTCTCTAAATATTCGTTAATGACTCCCTGATAAGCCACTGCCAATTCTGGATCTTTGAGTAACTTTCGTTCTGTAGAATCGAGCCTTTGCTTCGCCAATGAACTATTAGGTGCAAGCTTCGGTCGACCATCGCGCCAAGGAACTGCTACTTCATAGTGCTGCCCGTTGAACTTCACTGATTCACTCACTTTTGTCCAAGCAAGTTTCTCATCTGGTGTCATCTCTAAAATGGGAGATTCTTTATGTGTGATTCCAATGTTCTCTAAATCCCAAAACCGCTTAAGCATTTCATCAAGATTCCTATCTGTTTGATGAACTTCAATCGATGGCTTGTCTTGATTCAACAAATACGTGTGATGAAACCCAGTATGATGGGATCCATTCGATTCAGTACCATTCACTTTTCCAACCGCTGTCCACCCGAGTGGACAGAGCCTTGCTGATGGTTGACCATGCTCTCCAACTACTTCTTTCATTGAATACATCAGTTCGTGATGATCCGCTCCTAAGAGAATATCCACTCGTCGTCCAGTTACTAGTTTGGGAAAGTAGTGTTTTGGGAAAGTAGTGCCAGTTGTGTTTAAGGGGGTCCAATACTAAAATTTTGACTTTATGGGTGAAATTTATGAATTTTCAAAAAACTCAAAATTAGGTTCTTTGAAGCCTTATCAAACATTACTGAGACTTTCATTGTAAAAAAAACATACTAAGTTAGGGAAAAATGACAAAATACCAAGGGCTTTGAATATTTCCGCCATAGCAACGCGCTTAGCAACCAAAGTTTGCTGTTTGAAATCGAGGTAAAAATTGTTTATAAAATAGTGATTTATTACACCAAATTTTTGCTTATTTCCGAATAATCTGCAATTGTTTCACTGTTATTATGGTAAGAGAGAATTCAAGGGCAAAATAAACGGCGATTTAGTGGAATAGATTTGTTAAAAATGCAAAGAAATCGTGTACAAATGGACCCACCAAAATTGTGCTAACAGTAAATATGACGCCGATGCTCAATCAACTTCCAGTGCAAGTGTTTCAGCTTCATCGCGAACAATCAACGTTATAGAATCGCCAAATGCCACTAAAGAATCGCTACATGCAACAGGCTATCGTTTCATTGATATAGAAATTCTCAGTGAAGTTTTTCAGCAAGTAGTTTGCAAAGAATGTGGTGAATCCTCATCCCTTGTGCTTGAAGATAAAAAATTCGAACGTAAGGGTTGTGCATCTCATCTCCGTTTGTGATGCGAGGAATGTGGTTGGGATTTTTCGTTTTATTCTTCAAATAAGGTAAAGAAATCCTTTGAATAAAAGGCTTGTTTATGTCATGCGATCCATTGGTATTATTTGGTAAAGGATATGCCTCCATGAAAAGATTCTGTACTCACATGAACATGCCATCACCAGCATACCGAGATTGTAATATATAGCCCTATCAAAAGCTGCTAACTCTGTTGCTACCAAGTTTATGAATGATGCAGCTGTTGAGGTTCATGGTGAAAATCCTGGTCAAATAACCCAATGTGGTGTCTCGTGATGATACCTGGCAAAGACGAGGATATTCATCGCTCCATGGGTGTGTCACAACCTTATCCATTGACGGACACCTTGATTGACAAACTTCAAAACTATTATGGCATTGCCATTAGAAGTAATTGTGGAAATTTGGAGTGAATGAAGGCTGCAATTTATGCCAGCATTATCCATTGTGTCTCATCAAAGAAGCGAAATTTACATACTTGGTGTCTTGATGGTCCGGACAGCTGGTGCCGCTTTAAACAAGACAAGGCAAATAGTACTGACTTATATAAGTGTGGACATGGTCTTCCAGACAACATCATTGCTCAGATTAGGCCCATTTATGATAGACTAAGTAGTAATGATTTGTTGGTCAAATGTTTCGATGGGAAAACTCAAAACCAAAACGAATCGTTGAACGGCATGATTTGGAACAGGCTTCCGAAGAGAATTTTTGTGGGTGGCAATGTTCTGCAGTTGGGTGTGTATGATGCTGTTGCTCATTTCAACATGGGTTCAAGGGATTCTGTTGATATCTTACAAGATGGGCTAGTTCTTGGCTACTACTTTGAAGAGGTTGTCTGCAAAGCTGATAAAAAGCATGTAAAGAAAGAAGATCATCGAGCTAAGCCGGATGTCAAAAAGAGGAGGAAGGTGGTGTATGGCCAGAAAAAGAAGAGGGAAGATAAAAATCAGGAAACAGAAGTCAATACCTATGGGGCAGGGACCTTTTAACACTAAACTGGTCCATTCATAACGTTTATTAATCAATTGTAGGTCAATATTGTTCTGAAAATCAATATGTTCAACTTTAAAGCAGTTTTTCTCAAATTGCCGAAATCCACCAATGGCCGTTATTGCATGCGCAATATCTCAAAAAGTATTTAAGCTATTGACTTCAAACTTTCAGTGTAGCTTCTGTATTGCATTCTCTTGGGGATGAACTAGAATCATAAAAATATATGCAATAGCATTAAAGTTGTGATAGTCAGTATCATGCCGATAATATGTATTTTCAATATTTTGTCCGCAAAAAATTTATTTTTGCTTCGATCACCATAGTTCTAGTTCATCCCCAAGAGTATGTGGTATACTATTAAATAAAAGTTATTTGAGGTTTTTATCATTCATATTTCTTGAGATATCATGTTTACAAATATGTTGATTTTTCACCACCGGGAGGTAATTAACATGGTAACCATGGCAACGGTAACTTTGAAAAACATTTTTTTATGTTAGTGGTACCATGCCCTAAAAACTGACCAAAGATGAACATCATAGCATTAAAACACACAAAAAAAAGTTTTTGAGTATTGGACCCCCTTAAGAATGTAATTGAGTAACTTGAAATTAATTGAATGAACTAGCAGCTATAGTATACTTAATTACAGGTAAACTACGTGAAGCGTTCCTCTTTTGAGTTCCTAACTCATTTGGAATTTTCAATATTAAATTTGCAAATTTGAAAAACTCTTCGCAAACCCTTGAGGGAATTTGCAATTTTCCTGTCGGCCGTTGCAATATTCCAACGCAAAGAAAGTTCCTTTCAAATTTTCCTAACTTCCTGTTCTGTTCTGAGCGTTTTCATTGGTGGATTATTTTTGTTGGCCAATTGCAACGCACAGAACAGAACAGGAAGTTAGGAGCTTGTAACAGGAAGTTAAGAACTTCTAACAGGAACTGAGGAACATTTATTTTTCTCTTAAGAACATTGCAAATTCCTTCAAGGGATTTGCAAGGGAGTTTTTCAACTTTGCTAAGGTAATGACGAAAATTGCAATCAACTTAGGAACTCAAAAGAGGAACACTTCACGTAGTTTACCTGTAACTGTCTAACTCATAACGAACTCATTGAACTAACTAACTGACAGATTAAGTTCAAGTAATTAAAAAAATAGTAACTTTTAAGTAACTAGCAAATTGTACAGTAGGTTTTATTATTTGTTTCTGAAGGGTACCAGCAGTGAAGATGCAGATCAAGGGAAAAACATCAAAGTTAAAAATGATGGAACAACGTTTGAGATTATCCAGGTACGATAATGCCTCTCTGTCGCTCTATACGCGAGGAAAAATTGTACAGAACTTTCTGATGTTGCCATCTACACGCGTAAAAATATCACATCTTGTAGCAAGTCTGCCAACAAGCCGTCGCCAAGTTGTATTCGCACTACTGTACTTATCCCAAGTTGTCAACAAGTTTGGAACAAGCTGTGAACAATTTGTAACAACCTTGTTGATATTATCAGACTTCTTGCAAGGTAGTTCCAACAAGTCCGATACAGTCATGATAAAACAATATTGTTACAACCTTGTGTCGTCCATCTTGTAACATTCTTGTTATATCATGATTGTATCAGACTTGTTAGAACAACCTTGTAACAAATCTGATAATACAATCAAACTGGCTACAGTACAAATCAAGCTGTTAACAGCTTGTTCCAAACTTGTTACAACAACTGGGAACAAGCAGTGCGAACACAACTTGTCGACAGCTTGTGAACAGATTTGGAACAACTTGTTTGCAGACCTGTAACAACTTGTGCGTTTTTACTTGTGTATGCTATACATATAGTTTACAGTGAAGAGTCTCTATATGTTATGACCTTTTCCAGGAAATGGCAGTAAAGTTTGCAAAGGGAGACAAGAGTTTTGACCAGGAAGTTATTTATAAGTTCTTGAAGTTTCTCATGGATCTTTGGGCGACAGACTTGAATGATAGACCTCAAGAAGTTGAACGAAGCATAGAGGTACAGTTTTTGCGTAATCCGCACTGATAATCAGCAACTTACAGGGCCAGTTGTCTACGATGGCCGGATGCATTATTCACGGTGAAAAAGGTTACGTTGACAGTGAAAAAGTTGATCAAGATGGCATTTTTTATTATAAAAGATATATTACATTTCTTCTTCGAATATTGCACATACCAAAAATCATATTTGTGGTTAGTCGCACTTTAATATTTTCGTTTTTTTATTGTTCGTAGGGTAAAATGGCAATGGCAACTCATCGTCAAACAGAGCGTTACCTGAAGCCTTTATTACGCAAGCTTAAAGCAAAGGTACTTAATTAACCTTACTGGAAATACAGAGAATCTAAAATGTTTTTAGTATCCAACTTTGTTTTTGTCCATTTCCTTCTTTAGGCAACACCATCGGATATTTTAGATTTTTTAATTGAAATTGTTGGCGCTTTACTGGAACGCGAATATGTCAAGGTGTGTTCCTTAATATGTTTATATAGTATACAAGCTATATGCTCCAGCAAAGGCAACTTTCCAAGCTATATACCCAGAAGGGTTTTTACCGTTTTTAAATAAGTTCAAATAATGAAAATAATACTAATTTTGTCAATGTTTTGTTTCCTCAGGCAAACGACTCGTATCTTCAGATGGCAATCGGTAATGCACCATGGCCTATTGGTGTTACTATGGTCGGTATTCACGCTCGTACTGGAAGAGAGAAAATCTTTGCTCAACATGTCGCACGTATCCTTTTGTAAACTGTCAACTTCTTGCGGTTTATTTTATATATAGAGTCTTTACTTAACTTTCTTCAACTGCTCTATGTCAATTTTACTACGGGAGGAAGACAGCTGTATACCTTATCAACGGTCTACCTTAACCTTTTTGGCTACTAGCAAATACGTGCTGTGTAGGTTTCATTCAGTGGCGAAGCTGGATATGTCAATAGCTCATGCCATGCAAATTTTTAATGATTTACATTATCCAAACATTTACGCCCGTATTCTAAAAGCTCACTCACACTCAATGAGTGGAGGTTCAATCTGAGCTTCTCTTGAGTGTCAATGCTGTTTTTGAATAGCTGGAGGGTGAGCAGTCACCGAGGAAGGTATGACTACTCACCCTCCAGCTATTCAAAAACAGCATTGACACTCAAGAGAAGCTCAGATTGAACCTCCACTCATTGAGTGTGAATCAGCTTTTAGAATACGGGCGTTAGAAATGTACTGTATTATAACAAACATACTTCCAGGGAGGACTGGGAGGTGAGTCCGGAATTGGACGCGCCGAGGGTGAAACTTCCAGCCACCCGAACATTTTACTCGCATTTTGCGAGCGTCAAGTATAGAGCTTGTTTATCAGTTCTAGACTGTTCTCCCTAGAGTCTAGAGGTCCACACTAGTTACAAGAGGAAATCGGGTTACCTACTGAGAAAACGTACCTACAGTAGAGGTTTTGGTAGAGTCCAACTGTAAGCACTCCTATTCACTTGTGAAGGTGTAATTAGTTGCGGAGCCGGGAATTCCCCGACCAGAGGGCTAAGACCCCAACAGGGGGCAAATTCGTACAGCTAATAAAACATTTGTTCTGTTTGTTAAACTTAGGGGGGGGGTCGACCCCAAGAAAATTTTTGAATTATGAATCTCTAAAACGGTATTTCCTGTATTTAAGATATTTAGCGGCAGAATATTACAATTGTCTTCGACAACGTGTTCGACAGCTCTACAAAACACGATAATTAAAGAACGTACAAATGTAGTTCCTAAAATAGTTCCTTCCCCAACAAAATTAGTGCTGTGCAAACTCCGGTTTTTCATCTCCGGCTCCGGCCGAATTACAGCTCTGAGCTCCGGCTCCGGCTCCGGCCACATCATAAAATATTAAATAAATGTTTTATGATCAGAGAACATTTATTAATATTATTATGAATAACCCTTTTCGCGCTTAGCAGATAACATATCTCAGATATTATCAGATAACATAACTCAGGAAACAAAACAGTGAAAACACTTAACCACGCAGAAAATATCTATATGGAAACCAGCCTCGAAAAATCTTTGACACGAGGCATGACGCGAGGCATGACGCTAACACTCTCAGACTCCACAGCGCAATTGTTCGCACGCAATTTTCGTTATCTACAAGGCATGAATACACAGACTACAGTATGTAGCGCTAAGTCAGATGGCTTCATGAAAGCATGACGTTTGTAAGTTGCGATCGTATTACAGCTTTTCGACGCTGTTCCTGTGGGCTGTGGCAGTTTGAGTCTATGATAAATTCATTAACAGCAATTGGTAGTTTGCAGTAACTAACAATCGTTTGACATTTGTCTCATTTCATATTGTTTTCTTGTCATTTTGCCGGAGCTGGGAAAACGTAACTCCGGCTCCGGGCTCTGGCATACAAAATTCGGCTCCGGCGTCGGAAAAACCGCCGGAGCTCCGGCAGAACTCCGGCTCCGGCAACTCCGGCGCACGGCGCTAAACAAAATGCGCATTTTTCTTCGACAGAAGGCTAGAGTTCCCGATAAGGGACTGTGGGCCCCCTGGAATCAAAGTGACAAAAGTGCGTATTGTAGGAGTTGGACCTGTTACCGAGATGAAACACACATGTACAGTATAATACCAGACACTGTGGTATCAACATCCAATGAGAAATTTTACACATGAAAAAGTTGTATGAATGTATGATCCTTGACGTTGTACCAGATGTTCTTAATGACGAGACCCAGAGGAAATACATTCAAGTGAGTTGTTCCTTTCTTTCACAACACTTTAAAAACCTTGGATAGACCAGAATACATCCGTTACCTTGGATAGACCAGAATACATTGCGGTTTCAAGATGACGTCGCTACTTCTAGCAATGTCGTAACAAAAATGCTCAATCGACTGTCGTATTATTGTCAAAGCGCGATTCCCAAGTTTCTTGTGAATATTCACAATTGCATTTATAAATTTGGAATATTGGGAGTGGAAAATACAAAGCCAACTTCACAAGTTGCTCACTAAAGCGAAGTAGTGAACACAAACTCGTAACTTAAATACTAAAATACAAAAGAATAACATTTTGATTGAGTCGTCGCGAAGTTGGCTTTGCAATTTCCATGCCCAATATTCCGAATTTAGAAACGTAATTGGGAATATTCACAACACACTTGGGAATCACGCTTTGAAAAAAGTGACCTGAATACGACAATAAACATATTGCATTTCTACGTTCCGTATAGGCTCTGAAAAGACTGATGACGTTCTGTCAAAAGAAATTTGAAGCTGATCCATCAAAGAGCGTGGAGTACCATGCAGTATAGTATGTAGTATGCATTATGAATTATGTATTTTTATGTAATATAAACTAAGATTTATAGTCGGGGTCCCGGGACTTAGCACAACATTTATACTAGGGAGTGGGGACCACAGGCTATTAAATCACATGCCTATTTAACACTATTCTGGTGCACGCGTAAAAATTTCACAGCTTGCCAACTAGATGTGTTCGCACTGCTTGTTCCCAGTTGTTGACAAGTCTGGAACAAGTTGTTATCATCTTGTAACAAAACTGATAAGGCCAACAGACTCGCAACATGTTGTTGCAACAAGTCTGATATCGTCTGCATGTAACAAGTTGTTATCAAGTTGATGACAACAAGCTTGTATAGCAACTTGTTACGAACGACCTGTATTACTCTTGTTGGAAGAAGTCAGTTGCTGTCATCAACCTTGTAACACGGTGATAACATATTGTTCCAGACTTGTCACAACAACTGGGGACAAACATCGCGCATGATGACGGCTTGACAACAGCCTTGTTACAGCTTGTTTGCAGATCCGTAACAACTTGCGTTTTTACTTGTGCAGCGCATGTAATCTTAGAAATGAACAATGGAACGGGGTGTAAATGATATTAGAGAAGACAAGTTTGCAAAATCTCTAAATGCGATCTTCCATCCACTAAAAATCAATATATTTGCAATATATTATTGCTTAACATTGTAAAGTTTGGGGCCAACTATTAGAAAAGTGCCAAGGGGGTTCAGCTTGCACGAATTTTTCAGCCCTCTGCTTGTGCTGGAATTTTTGGTGGAAGGTAGTTTTTTTTCTTAGCCTTCCACTTTGCCCGAATTTTTTTATCTTCCTTCCCCCTTTTTTTGTCTCCCCCACCCCCCACCCCATCACTTTTCTAATGGTCTTTCCCCTAAAGGCCCATTTCCACTCAAGAAAGTTTTAACGGACAGTAAATTTTCCAAAAATTGATCAAAATTTTTTTCGACAGAAAATTTGTGTCAGCCAATCTGATTTTACAAAATTTTCTCTCTGTGGAAAATTTTCCTGAGTGGAAATGTGTCTTTGTGAAAAGAAAATGTTACCTTCAACAACAATTTATAGCAAAAGTAAAATATTCCGTCACTATACTCGACACCGATCACTATCTTTACAGAATTATCTACAACTATATTCATTTAATAGTTTTGTTTTTACATGGTGTTTCCACAAACAAAACTATTATGTTTTATCGCCATGCAAACGTACAAAGAACTTATATTCATTTAACATAACACATCTATAGTTTCATGTAAAATTCTAAGTTCTTGGTTCTAAATTCCAAGTTCTTGGCCAGAGCGTAAAATCTAAATTTCGTTCCACGAAATCAGTGATATGTCACTTTAATTTCACTCACAACCATTAAATGATCGGATGGGAACATTTCTTCCGGTATACGATTAAGTGACAACGCTATCATATCTGACAGTCCAACTTTAACTAAAGAAAAAAATATGACAAAACCTACTACTAAATAGACTGTAAAATGCTTACACCCAAACCATCTTGGACAAAGCATAAGTTTTCGTAGCCCTCTTATTTGTGTATGTTTTGCATATATACAGAATGCTAGGTATATAGCACCAATTAGATAGATAATTAAAAAGTAGTACATAAATAATATAATGTTATAATGTGCGGCAGTGCACTCGGTGCAGTCAGGGAGGTCACAGTTTAGGGCGTTGCCACCTCCGACGCAAACACCACAGCGACATGAGCCACGAGGTCCACAGTCCAAGTGACATGTATAATTTAGTCTGTCGCCATTCCATTGCCTTTTTGACATACGGGATATAGTTTTTAAACGGCTTACATAGTTCCAAGAGCTATAGCCGTTTTTGTAGCCCTGACCCTGACCGAGCAGTGTGGTTTTAACAGGATCTAGGCCAACACGAGATACCAACACTCTGTCAGGACGGTTTACGAGTCCAGGAGAGGGCTATAAACAAGAGAAAAAGAAAATGAGTACATAAGAAAATTCGAGTTGTCCTTCAATGGGCCTATTACCTACTGAACAAAATTTTGTTCTAGACAAGTCTGGACAAAAATTTCATCACTGATGAGCTTGAAAGAGCATCACAAAATTACTAATACTCCGAAGTTTCGTTGCGAAATGTTGTAAAATGCGGATAATATAGCCCTGCGAAGTTTGCCGTTTTTCAGTCATTTTGTATTACGCACGGGAAATTGGTACCGCTTTCTGAAAAGTAGTGATTTATTCATATGAGATGTCATTTCAAATCCTCGCATTTTGATCTGGACAGTCCTCGGGCTTGATCAAATTGCGCAGACTTGAAATCTTGTCCAGTCCCCATAGTCGGATTTGAAATATTACTTCTAATGCTAAGCAAATTTAAATACAAGTAAGGAATACTGGATAACTCTTTATCCTAAACTGTCCGCTAGGGATCGAGCTGGATAATGGGGTAGCAGGAATGAAAGTTATGAAACCTTGGTTGCAGAAGTACAGGCTACCAATCAGTGGCGTAATGGAGGAAGAGGGGTCCCTTAGGCATATTTGCATAGGCATATTTGCATATATTTGCCCCCCCGGTGATCGCCTATGGGCAGTCAGGCAATATTCGACTAACAGTCGGGCAATTTTGGTTTGTTATAAAAATAAATCGGACAAATTCTGTAAATTTTTTCGAAAATTTAGTCAATTTTGTGGCCAATGTAGTGTTTTTTTTGAAAATTTATGTGATGCTCTGAAAAATATTGGTCTGTCTGAAAAAATTTTTTGACCCCTTAAATGGTACACTGACCGGAATTTTTCCGGGAAAAATTTTTTGGTACTAGACGGGCACAATCACGAAAAGTCGAGCAATTTTACGAAAAGTCGGGCAATTTTCTTTCCGCCCCTCCTAATTTTTTCCTTCCGGTATGCCCATGCATATTCGGTGTGGGGGCCCCTGTTGTCATTGTTTGACTGATATATTATATTTATATTGAACATTTATAGAATGTTCTGGAAAATTCCGTGTCTATAACAATGACGACAATAACAGTCTCCAACATATGTAACAACTTTTAAGAATAACTTTTGTTTAATTTGAGTTGGAATAAAAAAATCGGCTACCGTCGTCGATGGAGGCTTGATTATTTAGCATTATTAATTTTGCATTTTCCCATTGATTCTTAACCTGCATTTTTTACGTTTTCTAATTTTCTGGGCGATAGACCGTGGCTGATGGGGCCCCTAACTGTCGGGGCCCTTAGTTTTTTAACTAACCATAACTATGTCCGTTGCCATGATATTAGAGAGGTTCAGACTTCAGATTTGACTTCCACTAGTGTTACCTCTCAAGGCTTAATATTTACAAATTTGTTTGGTTAGTCAGGTAGAATAAATGCATCTCATTGGTTCATTATAAATGTTGCAGTACTGGTAGTGAAATTCAAAATTTGAACCGCTCTATTTATCTTCCATGATACCATTTATGTGGAATGTAACTAAGTATCTGAATCTCGATAAACTTACCATATTACTAAATGTTAATCCACCTTTTTTATCCAAATTTGTCATGGGCCACGAATCGTCAAAACCATAACCTTGCTCGGCACCGACCGGTTCAAACCCTACAGGCTTAGGACATCCATTCGGTAAGAAGAATCCATTGAGAACGGCCGCGACTGGCCACTCATAGTCCGAGTATGTATTAAAATCACCCACAATCACAGTCCTATCAGCACCGGTTGACGAAACGAAATTTATTAACCTCATGGCATTTTGACATTGAAGTTTCTTATTGGTTGAGAAATGTACGACCATAAAGAAAATCTCATGGTGTTCGTATTCTATTTGTATGTGCAGTAACACTCGTGGGCTTTCGTCGGATTCCCCAGCTTTCGAGAGCGGTATATGGTGGGACATCACGATTGAATACTTGCTTAGTATTCCTAATCCCTCCTGCTCCCAGCCCTTGATGGCATTTTTGCCAAATTTGTTTTTGTCAACAGTTCTTGTCGAGTGGAAAACATGGTATTTGTATTCAGGAAGAAGGGTTTGCAGTTGTTTTAGTTGGTTCCGCTTGCCGTTGGCATCAGCTCGGGCTTCTTGAAAACCAATGATATCTGGATTTGCTTGATGAATCTAAGTGTACAATCGTATGGAACAACAACGATAAGTGGCTGATCACAGTTTTAATTTGTGACTATTCAGTTATTCTCCCCATTTAGGGTAAATCTATTGAGTTGCACCATTGAGTTGCAATGCACCCTGGCTACTTTATTATTTTACTCTGTCTAATGCCAGATGATTTCACTCATCAAGAGGATAGCGTTGGCACTCAATGGGTCGGTATACTACAGAGAAAAATCTAAAGTAATTGTAAATTAGACTAACTCTATTCAAACTGGATATTACATAACATCCATTGTCTTTCAATTATATTACAGGGGGAAACCCTTC